TTGACTAGATAACATGGCTATATTGTAGCAGTTAGGTGAGTATGAAATGACTAGATAACATGGCTATATTGTAGCAGTTAATTGACTAGATAACATGGCTATATTGTAGCAGTTAGGTGACTATGAAGTGACTAGATAACATGGCTATATTGTAGCAGTTAGGTGACTATGAAGTGACTAGATAACATGGCTATATTGCAGCAGTTAGGTGACTATGAAGTGACTAGATAATATGGCTATATTGTAGCAGTTAGGTGAGTATGAAATGACTAGATAACATGGCTATATTGTAGCAGTTAGGTGACTATGAAGTGACTAGATAACATGGCTATATTGTAGCAGTTAGGTGACTATGAAGTGACTAGATAACATGGCTATATTGTAGCAGTTAGTTGACTATGAAGTGACTAGATAACATGGCTATATTGTAGCATTTAGGTGACTATGAAGTGACTAGATAACATGGCTATAACTTCCATTTCTACATTGACTATTCAAATATTTGATATCTAACTATTATCTAATAATCTTTTTATTGTTTTGAGTCTTAGTTTCATGTGTTAATATTATCATTATTGTCAGCTAGTAATGAACATTTTATTTCTTTTTGAAAGTTAAACGTCATGCAATGCTACGTCAAAAGTTTGTGTGAACAATCAGACAAAGAAGGTCTTCCTGTAGAGTGAGTTAGATGCTGTTGCCTACAATGCAACATTAAGAATAATATGACTAGATGGGTAAGAATTCATAATTAGGGCAGACCAGTAGCTTATAATTACAGAACACATCCATTTTATAATAATCAATATGATTCAACAAGATTATAAGTTGGCACAAACTATTTTGAAGTTATATTTATTTTACATGCTCAAACGTTCTGATTGGTTCAACTATATACTTTACGTGACATCTCTGGATCTCTTCAAATATCAAGTAACTGATTCTTTTATACTAATGAAGTACAAAGCTTCAGGTTTTGAACTTATTCAAATACTGAAGCAAACAGTAAATAAAACATAATGTTAAAACTATAACATTCCTAGATTTTGATGCATAAGTTACTATCAATAAAGAAAGTCTTAGCCATGCTCTATTTAAAACTTACTGGTGATGTATGTACAGGTTTTATATTTAGTTTCATGTCTGGTTTGTCCACAAAACTCACAAAGAAAAGAAGTTCTTCTGTGTCGCCAGATATTTTCAACTGAAAAAGAAAATATAATTACTTACATAATTTCACTACAAGTCACGAAAAAAATATCAATATTTTTCAGTTTTTTGATTGAGCATAGAATGAACTTTGCAGTATAATGTAGACATAACTGTGATAAAGTCTCCCACAAAATCACTATACTCGAATTCACACTCAACTTTTTAAAAAATTATCCTGTGTATTTAAACATTTAAAGGTTGCAAGTTCACAATCTAACCTAAATATTTTTTATGTTATAGTTATTAATCAATCACATTTTTGTTTGAAAACAAATTGTTGAATATACTAAGATTTCCATTATCAATGGAAGAGAAACTACAGAGAATCACTATTTAATTTTTTTAACACCAAAATCAGGACTACAAGGATATTTTTTTATCATTCCAAATTAGAAAACAAATATTTGTACTAATGTCTAAATTTCGTGTTTTAATACGTAACTGATACAGAGATACATGGTAAGGATTTATTTTTATATGTATCAATACATTTGTGATTACAATATAAGATATAAACAGTACTCAAAGTTTACTGATTGTCTCAATCTGGTTTCTGATATTTCATTAAATCATACTTCACTAATAATTGGTTCAATAAAAATTACACACTTTTTGATAACTTCAGAAAAACAGTTAAGCAATTACAGTGACAAAAAGGAGAAGCTGTAAAGGTATGTTAACTGAAAGTTACATGCATAAATAAAGAGGTGAACGAGAAGTAAATAATACTTTTTTAATTTGCACTGATTAACAACTTTAGTTCATTATCAACAAATACATTATTTTTTTCCTCAATGACTTTCCAGTAAGTTAATAAAACATAATAATATGATTTGTATATTACACAAACTTGTAAATTTGTTTGTAAGGAAAAAGAAAAATCATGAAATATGTTAAGCATGGCTACTTGACCACGAACTGGAAAACATCAAGAGGATAAAATGCGTGCAGGAAAACTGAGAGGTTACTATTTTTGGACAGTTCCAAGAGTTACTCATGGAAGTGAGGATTTATGAGTAACAGTCTTGGATAAACAAAGAAGCAATTTCTAAAACAGCATTTTAAAAACTGTACTGATAATGTACATGCGAATAAAATGAAAGTTTTGAAAGTGAATGCTAAGCAAATAGTGCATATAATGTTATAGCTACAAGTTAATAATCTAGTATTACTGTGGTAAACTGAATAAAATATGATAAAGATAATTGTAATATAATACTGACAAACAAAAGTATGGTAAACGAAACTGTAATGTAGCACTTTCTGTAATCTAATAAACTAAAATATGATAAAGATAA